CTTTAAAGTATGGTTGAAAACAATCTAACAAAGAATTCATATACATTTCAACGTCAAAAACCAAAAAGAATATTGATTGAAAAGTCGAGAGTTGCAGAGAAGATAACTAACACAACTGAAAAAGAGTTACCAAAGAACGAAGATGTTAAACCAGTGTTTAAAAAGGTTAACAAAGCAATAAAATTGAATTCAAAGGAGTTTAAGGATCAAGTTGAAAGAATTTCAAAAGAAAATAACATTTCTAAAAGAAAAGCAAGAACAACAATTTTTTGGCAAACCATTGAGTCATTAAATAAGAAATCAATAAAATTTTCAAAATGAGAAAAAGTTTTTAGAGGAAAATCAAAGAGTCAAGTTTTTGAAAAGAAAAATGCTTTGTTTTCAAATAATCAAATAAAAACAACACTTCCAAGAAAAAGTTTTCAGAAAAAGGTTGAAAAACAAATTTCAAAATCACAAATAAATACATCTTATCGTGAGTCATATCTATCGAAACCAAAAGTGGATTATGTTCCAATTTTAGCACATTGTTATAATCTTCCAAAGAAACAAGCTGACAAAGCCTCAAATGCGAAGGGTATAACAACTAAAAGACATATTGATCATTGGTTGGAAGGAAAAGGAAAAATATATCAATCAAGTAAGTTTTCGAAAGAACAGATACACGAGGCATACGAAAAGTATGTAAATCCTTCAATAAATGGCAGTTTATCCTCCAAGGAATCAAATATTTCAGTTAAAGTTTGGAAGCCAATCACCAAATCGAAAATTGTCATATCACAAACTCAAAATGCGAAGAGTACAGTCAGTGAAAATTTGAAAACAATAAAAACTCATATATCTGACCCTTTGAATGAAAATGTTACATTTGTTGACAGTCTCAAAACTAAAGTTTGTGATTAGGTTAGTAGTCATACTTTACAATTGAAAAAGACACCTAATATAAATGGACCCAACAAGTCTTGGGTACCTATATTCTTTCAATAATCGCAGGTACTTCATGACGAGCAATATGATGACAAAAGGTATATTGATAGCGGTTGCTCACGTCACATGACTGAGAAGAAGGAAAGCTTGCGTGATTTTCGAAGCTTAGAGAATGGTGGAGTGGTTAAGTTTGGAAATAACCATAAATGCAAAGTCAAGGGTTATGGAAAGATAACGAATGGAAAATTCACTATAAATCGAGTTGCATATGTAGAAGGCTTACAACATAACTTGATAAGTGTTTCACAACTTGTTGCGGGCACTAGAAATGAAGTTCTTTTTAATGAAGAATGGAGTGTCATTTCAAATATTGAGACAAACAAAGTTTTACTCAAGTCAAAACGGAAAGGTGATATGTTTACATTGGACATCATTCAAATTGTAGGCAAACCTGCTGTGTGTCTACTTTCGAAGGTTGCTGCCGATACAAGCTGGTTATGGCACAAGAGGCTATCACATCTCAATTTTCAAAACATCAACAAACTTGTCATACAAGATCTGGTAAGAGGTTTACCCATTCTTAAATATGATAATGACAGTTTGTGTGCAGCTTGCGAAGTAGGAAAACAACACAAACAAGGTCATCCAGTCCTAATAAATTCGAAGATTGTTGAAGCCCTAGAACTTTTACATATTGATTTATGTGGCCCTTCAACAGTTTCTACTCTTAACAAGAAAAGGTACATTTTAGTTACCGTGGATGATTTTTCAAGATTTACGTGGGTTTATTTTCTCAGGTTAAAATCCGATGTCTCACAAATGATGATTGATTTTATCAAGAAAATGGAAATTTCGTTGAAGAAACTAGTTCGAAAAATTAAAAATGATCATGGAACTGAATTCAAAAATCATGTTTTAGATTCATTTCTGGTGAAGAAAGGTATTTCGCATAATTTTTCATCTCCATACACACCGCAACAAAATGGTGTAGTTGAACGAAGAAATCAATCATTATGCGAAGTCGCAAGAACAATGTTGGCATATTCGAATTTACCTCAATATCTTTGGGCTGAAGCTGTTTCAACTGCTTGCTTTACTCAAAATTGATCATTCATTCATAGACGGTTTAATGCTACTCCTTATGAAATCATCAATAATAGAAAACCTAATGTCAAAATTTTCCATGTTTTTGGGTGCAGATGCTTCATAATGAATCTTAAGAATAATCTTTCGAAGTTTCAAACAAAAGCTGATGAAGGAATTTTCTTGGGATATTCACACAACTCTGTAGCTTATAGAGTGTTAAATAAGCGAACTCGCAAAGTGGAAGAAACATTAAATTTGACATTTGATGATTATTATATTAAAAAGACTGATCATTAATTTGCAAATTATCCTATTTTGCAAAAATCTTCAAATGAGAATGAATCAATAGAAATGGATGATGCTGATTATGAATCAATTTTTGGTATTTCAGGTCATGCAATTGATGCAGAGAGAAATGCACCAGATAATCAATAATCAGAAGATTCGAAGCTTCATGATGAATCAATCTCACTTTCGAATCTGAACCCAAATGAAATATCCGTTGATCCAGTGGAGGGGGAGCACTTAGATTCAAACACTTTTGTTGAGGGGGAGCATTCTTACGAATTAGATAATATGTCTATCAATATTGATGTTGATGGGGAGCCAATACACGAAGAGGAGCAAACACTCGAGGGGGAGCCACTACTTGAGAAGGATCCAATATTTGAAGAGGAACATTTTGATGATGCTGAGGATGCATGTTCAATAAATGGATAAGAAACCGATGCTATGTTCGAAGATGCACCTTTGGACTTTGATCCTGATTATCCACCATTGGATAAATGGACAAGAAATCATCCAAAAGAACAAATTCTTGGAGATCCACAAGCGGGGGTATTGACAAGGGCTCAACTTCATGCATGAAATGAGGTACTGAATACTCACCAAGAGCTATGCATGTTTAATGTTTTTATTTCCAAAATCGAACCAAAGACTGTTAAGGTTGCAATGGAACACTCTGATTGGGTTGTTGCAATGCAAGCTGAATTGTCTGAATTCGAAAGAAACAAGGTTTGGAGATTAATTCCTAAACCTGTTGATGTTTCAATTGTTGGACTTAAATGGATTTTAAAAAAACAAAACAGACAAAGATGGAAATATTATTCGAAATAAGGCCAAACTTGTTGTTAAAGGATATTCTCAACAAGAAGGAATTGAATATGAAGAAACTTTTGCCCCTGTCGCAAGACTCGAGGCTGTTCGTATTTTTCTGGCTTATGTAGCTCATAAAGATTTTGACGTTTATCAAATGGATGTAAAATGTGCATTCTTAAATGGAGAACTTGAAGAAACAGTTTATGTTGAACAATCACCAGGTTTTATAAATAACGAACATCTTGATCATGTTTATATTTTAGATAAAGTTGTGTATGGGTTGAAACAAGCACCAAGAGCATGGTATGCAACATTAACATCATTTTTGAAACAATCTAAATTTAAACAAGGATCAGTTGATCCCACTTTATTTCGAAAGAAAGTTGGGAGTCACCTGATGCTTGTTCAAATTTATGTTGATGATATAATTTTTGGCTCTACTGACCCTGCTTTGTCTAAAGAATTCGAAGACTTGATGAAAAGCAAATTCAAAATGAGTATGATGGGCAAAATTAATAATTTTTTGGGTTTGAATATTCGTCAAAGCAGAGAAGGCATCTTCATTAATCAGGAGAAATATACGAAGACTTTTCTTGAAAATTTTGGAATGACGAATAGCACTAGGTTACGAATACCAATGGCAATGGGCATAAAGTTAACTCCTTCGTTAGACAAATCTGCTGTTGATATTACTTTGTATAGAAGCATGATAGGGTCATTATTGTACTTAACTGCGAGTCGACCTGATATTATGTTTTCTGTTTGTAATTGTGCAAGGTATCAATCAAATCCACGTGAACCACATCTAACAGTGGTTAAGAATATTTTTCGATATTTGAAAGGCACCACTTCGTTAGGTTTGTGGTATCCTTCGAAAACAGGGTTCTTTATACAAGCTTATTCAGATGCGGATCTGGGAGGATGCAGTCTTGATCGAAAAAGCACAACTGGTGGGTGTCAATTACTAGAT